GCCTCTCTCTCTCTCTCTCTCTCTCTCTCTCTCTCTCTCTCTCTCTCTCTTTCTCTCTCGGCTACAAGGCCCGACACAAAAGTCAGTCCCGTTGGCGAAATCAACCGTTCATGTGACTCGTGAGTGCAGGGCAGGTATTCCCAGCTGCAGCACGATGCGTGCGTACTGTACACTCCGCGACATGCCATCGGCGCGCCTGGTTGATCTGTCTGCAAGCGCAGAACCCCACATGTATAATGAACCACCAGCGACGCCGCCTATACACCCGCCGCCTTGATTTACTATTCCGCCAGTTATAGGTGTACGGGGTACCTGACGCTGCAGTGTCCTCTCCGCCTGCTGCTCGGCGATCTTGAGAACTTTCTCCGAAGCCTGGGAACAGACAGTGGGGAGACATGAGACATGAGACACATACCGGAAAGGGCGGTCCGAATTTACGGGGGGACACACGCCGGGCAGGGGGGTGGGTGGGATCAAACACAACCACGAGAAGCCGAGCGTTCCGCAGCCGAACTAGCAAGCTGAGCAGATCAGACCACACCCACAACAAAGGAGCAAGAAACGGCCGGTTTCTCGTGACACACGTCGAAGGCACGAAGCGCTCAACATTCACTTAAGAGTATCGAGAAAGCTTGAAAATTCCATCTGTGTAACGCGATTTCGCCGGCCTTGTACGCGGCGACCAGCCTCAGTTATGGGGCCATACACAGGGGCCACGGATGGAAGAGGAAATTTTTCGACCTGTGCGTGTGCCGTGACATAAAAAAACTTGAGCACATCAGCTACGCAAACTAGCGTGCGCAACGGTATCAAAATGTGCGCGACAGCAACACGACGATTCCTGCACACACACACATGTCAAAGTTTCAGAAACCAGCAACCCCCCCCCCCCACTCCCCTCGCACCTCAAGCTTGGGGCGAGCAAGGGAGGCCGAACACTATCGCTTAGGCGGGTCGGGTCGGATGACCGCCAAAATCGAGGGTATCGTGACTCGAATTAGGTCGAACTCTCACCAGCGCCGTCTGCGTCACACTACCCGTGGCAGTCCACCTACTTACTTGTGGGGGATGCGACGACGACGACGAATGACCTACGGGTACGAGAGCCAACGCGCACTCTTCGCGCGCGAGCGTGAGATCGCAACCAACACACCGTGAGAGTCTTGAGCTCCTTCGCCCTGGCGAGCTTCTTGTTCTCGTACATGACGCGGGCGTTGGCGTGGGCCGAGAGCATGATGTCCACCTCCACCAGCTGGTCGTCCTCGCCATCCTCAGCAGTAGGGAGGGACAGGACGACCTGCGCGGCGGCGGAAAAAATATGACAAGAGAAACCGAAAGAAAAAAGTGTGGTCGACCGCGAAAAAAGGGGGTGAGAAACGTGGGATGCAGAAGGACATGGTATCGTATCGTTGCTGTCGGGATATGCACAAGCCGGTATTCGTACTCGTCGTCGTGCAACGGTGGGTAAAGGCATCTCCATTCACACTAAAGAGTCTCGCATGTTTCTCCAATAGGTGGCCCTCACCCTCTCCCTCGTCAATGCCACATTTGCATACATACATACATACATACATACATACATACACACACATGTACAGAATCAAATCATCTTACACTTGTTTCCCTCCCTCCGTCCGTCCGTCCGTCCCTCCCTCCCTCCCTCCCTCCCTCCCTCAGTCCCCTCTCGCAAAAACAAAGCTCGAGCTGACGAATACAAACCGCCGCATCTTCATCAAAATATCACAATGGCACGCAACGCTCGCCTGGTTCCGATCGAGCCGCAGCTCGTGGATGAGGGAGGCTATGGGGTTGCCGTTGGCCGTCTCGGCCTTGACCAGATCCTCAAGGTCCTGCCAGTCCATACCGTTAGCCAGGGCGCTCCGGACCACCATCAGCGCCTGGCCAATTCATTCGTTCGAAGTTGGCGGTAGTGGTGGTGGTGGGGATTTGGTTATGGCACATGAACGAAACAAATCGGCCTGAGCTTATGCTAAACGCTCGCACAACGGCTTGATCGAGAGAGAGAGAGAGAGAGAGAGAGAGAGAGAGAGAGAGAGAGAGAGAGAGAGAGAGAGAGAGATCGACGAACGGACCTTGGTGTTGATGGCAGTGTTAAAACCAAAAACGAACGAAGCCAGAGACAGCGGATGGTAGTTACGACTCGCGAACACGAACAGCTACCTGGTGCTCGACACAGAAACGAACGCAAAAAAAAACAACAACCTTGCGAGCGAGAACGGTGGGCAACAAGGAGAGACAGAGGCAGAGACAGGCAGACCGATAGGGGGGGTGTACCGAGAACTCAAACGTGAGTCCAATCCGACAACTAGCGCGACGAACGTGCCTGCACACTGAGACACAAGACACACGGGCGCGACATTGTTCTCGAGTGTGAGTCACAAGTTATTAGGGTTAGCCTTTTGGAACCAACAACCCATGATTTGATCGCACTCAAGCATCCACAGACTTATCCACGCGCATATATCCACAGAACAACAGACGCGAAACTTTGGCGGTAAAAACGTTCGACAAAAAATTGAAACCACAAGCAGAAAACCACAGCTAAACCTGTTGGGCTATTCTGTCATCTCTGTCTCTCTGCCTCTCTGTCGCTCTCTCTCTCTCTCTCTCTCTCTCTCTCTCTCTCTCTCTCTCTTGAACTGAGGATAAATCAGTCACCTTTTCCACTTCGTCCGCCCAGGCTTCGGCGAGCTGCGCGTGCCGGAGCATCTTCTCCTGCCGCTCCTCCAGGGCGAGCACCCTCCGCTCCTGGTCATTCCTGATCCACGCTACCTTCCTCTCCACCGCCGCTTCGGCCGCCATCGCCGTCTGTTTCGTTTTCATTTGGTCCGATAATATCTAAGCCGGGGAAAACCAAAATATACACACTTATATATAGCAAGGTTAAGCTTAGATGGAGCTTTGACACGCGGTACAGAGCAAACTACGAAGGAGTCGGCCACCACTTTTGTTTCGTGATAATATCGACAGCGGTATAGCGTGTCTCCGGTGGCTTTCCATCAAGCGTCCATTTTCCTGTACATGCTCGCTGCCGTTGTGTTCGAAAACGTGCGATAGGGTGGTTGGTCGTATTGGAGAAAAAAATGAGGGTAAGGAGGAGGGCCCACCAAAAAAGGTCGAGAGAAAGCCAACGAGGCCGCGAAACCCCCTTATTCCGTCGTGCGTTCAGGTTTAAATCGCGCCACCGGTAGCCTTCTTACTGCGTGTACACTGTTGTACGGCAGGTATTACAACTGTTTACGCTCGCGATGGCTCACCTTCTTCAGCATCAAGCACGCGCGCTTAACATCGTTCAACACAACGCACAGATGTTAAGATATGTACCACACAACAGATGTATCGCACCAGCAGAAATCGCGCAAAACGGGCAGGTGAGCTTGCACGGTGGATGTTCGCAAATGACAAAAAAGACTGCGTCACGGACCAAATCCCGCCCCCAAAACACAAAACAACAATGCCATTCAGCCACCTGATCCTCTCATTCCTCCGCCGTTACAGTGCCCTATGCCCGGGCTCCCTTGCCGCAACAATCCTTCCTGGCTACATGGACCACCCCGCTATCTCTGTCTCTCTCTCTCCCCTAAACACCGCGCTGTCAGGCAACAACAACACATGGTCATTAGTACTATCTCCCCCCTCCAAGATCACCTGCTTGAGCTTCTGCTCCACGATGCGGCCGAAAAACGCGTCAACGGCCTGGTCGAACGACGCAAAGGAGTGGATAACCGCGCCGCCCTCGTGCTGGGCCAAGAGCTGCGGCAAGAACTCCTCGTAGACCACGTGGTCGCCGCCCTCCTCCGTCTCGCCCTGCTTCACTTTCCTCTCGCCCTCCTCCTCCTTCCCCCGCCCTGCTCCTCCTTCTGTGGCCGTCGTCGCCGCCACCGCCGCCGCCTTCGCCCCCTTTCTCTCGCCGTCAACAGGGCTCCCCGCCGCCGCCGCCGCCGCCGGTGCCGCCGGTGCCGGTGCCGGTGCCGGTGCCGGCAGGGGTTTGCACTGGATGTAGCCCCGCTGCCCTGGGCGGTCGAGCTGCTGGACGATCGCCTCCGCCCCTCCGAGCGCAACGACCAGCTCCCGCACATCGTCCTCGGACAAACCCGCACGCAGCTCGCCGCCGTTTCCGCTGCACGCAGCAGCCCCAGCCCCACCGGCTGCTGCTGCTGCTGCTGCTGCGTGGACGCCACCGCTGCTGCCGTCCGGTGTAAGCTTGGCGTTGGGCCTCAGCCCCGCCGCCAGCACGCAGTGCTCGATGATCGAGGGCCCGTACACCGACACCCCGGAACCCTTCTGCATCAACGCCTGCTTGAGCGTCGCTTTTTTCGGCTTCTTGGTGCCGCCGCCCTTCTTCTTCCCTCCACCGCCTCCGCCGTTTGCTCCGTCCGCGGCGGCAACGGCGGCGGCGGCAACGGCGGCGGGGTTATCCCCTCCGGCGTCCATCGCGCCGACTGGAGGAGCGGGCGGGAGCGGGGCAGCAAGAACCGGGGGAGGCGCTGCCGCCGCCGCTGCAGCGCGCTCCAGCCACTCGCTCATCCGCCGCACCCCGACCTCGAGCGGCGTGCCGTTGACGAACGCTCCCGGTGCCTCTTCTTCCCGCTGCTGGTCTTCTGGCGCCGCCACCCGGCCGTATCTCGCCGCGGAATCCTCCACGGAAGAAGAAGAAGCCGCCGCCGCCGCCGCCGCCGCTCGGTCCGAGGACGAAGAAGGTGGCAGTTGCGGTACCGCTGTCGTTCCCTCCTGAGTGGTGGCGAGCTCCATCGGGTAGATCTGCCTCACCGCGACTCTCACGTTGTCTCCAGCGCCGCCAGTGGCGCCGCTGCCGCCGGCGGCCCCGCCGCCCTGGCCTTCGTAGATGTGCGTTCTTAGGAGGTCGAGGATCTCGTACTTGGAGTCCGTCAGGATGATGTTACCTGCGCGACATCAACGGGGCACACCAGGAGGCGGTCAGCATGGTAGGGGCGCGTAGACCGCATAAGTACGGGCAAAGTGGAGGGGTCTTGTTCTGGGAGGTCAGACGGTTCCACGTATGTATGGCTATTAAGGGGGTACAGTAGTAGGTTGGAAGTTGATTTCGAGGATGTTGCGTATTTGCTGCTGACATGCTGCTCAACTCCGCTGGTAGCGTGGGTGGTCTTGGTTTCATGACGAAAGAGGGGAGCGTATCGCTGGGGTACCCAAGCGGGAAAAGAAAAAAAGTGTCACGACCTCGACGAGGACGACAGACAGCCAAGCGACAGCGACAGCGACAGCGACAGACACAGAATGACATGTTGTACACCAACACCACAGCCAGGCCAACACACAGCACCACCCGGAACACCCGCGAAACTGCCGTTGGTTCCACGCTGAAGAACAAGCGACAGGACGCCTTCCCTCTTCCCGCTGTTGAGCTTGAAGCGATATTCTAACGACCCCCAAAACAAACCGGGCAGACTTCCATGAATCTTTAACAACCAGCAGAATTAACAACCAGCAGAACTAACAACAACGACGATGACAGCAATATCGAGGCCAAAACCCCGTGGTGCTGCCACCGATCAAAGTCAGGCAGCCAACAAGCTAGCTAGTCAGCCGCAACACAAAATCACACCCACCCACCTGACGCGTAGAGCTCGAGGATGACGTGGTTGGACGCTTTCCCGCTGCCGAACTTGAAGTCGACGACCCTGTCCATGCCCACCTGCCGGACGTCTTCCAGTCTCTGGGTGCGGATGTGCTTCCTCAGCTTCATGCTGAACCCGGACGGCATGTCCGACTTCGTGTGCGTGAACCTGATTTGTTGTTGTAGTGTTCGGACGATTTTCTTGCCAAGTTCTCTTGCACAAACTAGAGAGGGCAACACTCATCCCGGCAAAGAGGGGCAGGAAAAAGAGAGAGGCCAAAAAAGGGTACTGCGCGGGGGGGGGGGGGGGGGGGGGGGCCCCCGGGAAAAAAAAAGGGAAAAAGGGCTCTTTCCAAAAACGGGGGAAGGCCCAAAAGGGGCAAAAAAGGAAAAACCCCCCGGGGGGGGAAACAAAAAAAAGGGAAGCCCAAAAAAAAAAAACAAAGGGGGGAAAAAAATTTTTTCCCATGGGTTGGGGGGGGAACCCGCCCCCAAACCCTTTCCCCTTGTGGGGGGAACCCTGCAAAAACCCCCGGGAAATTTTTGC